AACCAAGCGCCTCAGCCTTGGGAGCTGGAGCAGCTGGTGCACTTGCCGCGCTGCCGGGTCTGTAGAACCGCCCGGGCCCCGTAGTCAGTCCTTAACAGGGGTTAGAATACGGGTGGTTCTAGAATCCCTATGAAGGACTGTTAGTATAGCGGGGGAACTGCCCAACCCAGGGCTCTAGGTTTATGGAGTGAAGGTTTGGATTCATTTTGCTCAGGGCGATTTAGGATGGAGCTTGAAAAATGTCGAGTCCGGTGCGGGCTATGTGCACATTCCCGGCGTCTGCGCCGGCAAGTTCTGGTATGCATGATGCACCGAGTTCTGCGAAGTTCATCGTGTCTTGTCTTGTTCCAACGTGCGCTGCACCGTTGCGCGTGAGTGTCGAAGCTTGCCCGATCTTACTTACCAACCTGTTATGTCAAGTGTTGCCTGCATGTCTGCATGGCTTATGTATACGATGCAGATAGATATGACGCACGCATGATACAAATCAAGTGCAAGGTGCCAGCGACGCTGGTGTGCCCACAGTCCCGCTACATGGGGTACTGCTCTGAGGCCAACCCTTCTTGCAAAGCCTCATCTGTTGTCCATGGACTTGTGGGTGTTGCGTTCCTTCGGCTCGGGTGCCGGCTTGTAGTTCTCCATCACCTTAGTGTGTTCTGTAGACGCCATGTCCGGAGGCCTGCATCCAAGAAGACGAAGAACATCGATCTTCCTGGAAGTGCATGCAGGAGGGGACGGCGTTTGTATGCTGTGCTTTGCTCCGAGAGCCTGGGAGTTGAGCGAGCTTTGGGTGTGTTGGGGTGGCCTTAGGATCAACTCACAAATATTTCGGCCAAGCTGTACTTCCAGTCTAGCTCGCTGTGCGCACATGGGTCTCGTCTCTGAGGTAGTTAATGGAGCACTCCTCGCAATGTGGTCTCTGCCAGGTGGGTGCCACTGCCGTGGCAGCATACGCGATGCACAAGGCAGCTAGTGGCCAAGCGCCGACGATTCGAATCTACAATAATAATGAGCTGTGTGGGGGGCAGGCGTTTTCTTCGGAGATATATACTGCCAGCTTTGCCAGCGTACGAGTAGTACGAGCTTCGTACATCTTAGAACATGCTCATTGCGGCAAATCTTGGTGTCGAGCTTCAGTCTGAGGCGAATCTGTTTCTGGAATTGGGAGCTTGCATCAGCAGAACAAACGGTAGGGATTGTTTTTGTCAACAGGAGTCCGCCGGGCAAGATGTCCCCACCTGATCCCACCTGCAGAGTGGCATGCTTTTGGCGCAGGCTGGAGGCTGCTGCAACTTTGTGACGCGCTGCTCCGCGGAAGAGCTCCCTGCTTCCATCTTTCAAGGGGGCTGGCAGGAGCGAGTCTGTTGCAGCTTACAATATGTTTAACTGACCTGCAGCCGGGACCGTAATCGCACGTCCCGGATCCCGACCTCAGCCAGAATGAGTTGACATGGTGAGAGAGAGCCATCACAAATAAAGCCCCCTTTCGAGGAGTTCGTGACCTGCACAGACTTATCAAGTGCAGATGGCAAGCCCTTCCACGAGCTTCAATCGACGGCGCAGCAGGCCCTGAACTCGACCAGCCAAGCATTGTGCAAATCTTGCAAAAGAAAGACTGCAAACAGTGGACTTCTTTCCTAGGTCGACGCAGCTTCTGTGCCAGAAGTTATGTATATCATTACTTTCACCTGCTCGCCCAGTCACTGTGGCACATGGCAGACCTCTGTCCGACGAGCTAAGTTTTCGAAGTTACCAGTCCAACAAAACATGTGGAAAGTGCCGCAGACCATCATCGATGCCTTGTCCTTCCCGATGGTTGCCATCGAGGTGGGAGCCCGTGGAGTTTCCAACAACAGCACTTTCCTGCTGCACGCAGTGCAGCAAAAACAGACCGTTTACGCAGACTATTGTTTGCCAACGCCGCAGCGTCTGGGTTCGGATGGCAGGGTTCGCACGCCTCGACTGGTGACCAAGCTGCCTCTCTCTTCTCAACCCCTCTCTCTTTGTTTGCGCTGGCTTGGTCTTCGGGTTTCGTGCATCTTGACACCATTCTGCCCTTTCTCCCCAAGCGATGTGCAGGGCATGAGGCTGGCTGGCCAGAGCTGGGAAAGCCTCCGACATCTCAAGGCACCCCCCCCCCCCCCCCATATTCGAAGTTTCAGTGCAACCATGAGGGGTTTCGTTTTTGCGTGGCAACAAGGTCCAATCCTGGCACTTGGAGTAGCTGAGTAGCTCTCAGGGCTTCGGTGTTTTGGTAGCCGAGATTGCGTGGGGCGGTTTTTTGTCATGGAACAGTTGTTGCCATCGGCTCAGCGTCATGCCTTGTAGTGGAGATGTCAGCCTTACAAGAATCTTAGAGCAGTACAAGTCACGGTCTCTGAATCAGGTGCACGTCCTTGGTGCCCATGGGTCGACCTTGGCGGACATCTGGAAGTACGAGGAGATGCGCTGTCGAGATGAGCTTGACTGGCTTGGGCAGTTTCCGAGTTGAAGGTTCAGGGCCTAGCTAGGCCCGGTTGGTTTCGATTGTTAAGTAGGTAATGTTCTTTTTGTCAGGGGCCATCAACATAATGTCAGTTTTCACCGGGGCAGTTGACTTCTGGAAGTCCACGGCAAGGAATGGCTACGCCGGGGGCAGAACCTTAAGTCCATGGAGATCCATTTCGTTGGCCCTCAGGCACCCGGGGGAGTCATGTTCCGAGCCATTCCTGGGAGTGCTTGCGGTAGTGCTCGGGCAGATGTCGAACCTCGACTTTCATGATTTGTCTGTGATTTCTACTGGTTTCTCGTTGAGCTGGCCTTGCTGGCATTCATCTGCAACTTGCTCGTTTAGGCTACATGTGTCTTTGGTAGTGGTTGTTTCACTCAGGGATCCACTGTGCCCCAGACTTGCACAGATCCCGATGGCCGACGATGACTGCAACATGGTTTCCAGCAAGCTGCAACTTTGCGAAAGGCAAGCCCGTTTGCCTCAAACTTGCTTGAGAGGGCCGGAGCTGCAGCTGGCGCTTGTTGGGGGGGCTCACTTATTATTATTATTATTATTATTATTATTATTATTATTATTCTTATTGTTATTGCTATTGCTATTTTTATTGTTATTGTTCTTGTTCTTGTTATTGTAACTTTTATAGGGTTAGGCACCTGAAAAGGGCTGGTTTTCAACAACTTACGTCCACGGAGCCTCGTCTTGCAACTGCCCTGCCAGTCTCGTGGCCAAAGACTGCAAAGCAACTTGCTTCCTTCACAAGCATCTGCCTCAGACTCTTGTGATCCATTGGCGGTTATGGCATGTCACCCTTGAGACGCAGCCGATGTTGGGACTTTACGATCTTCGGGGTACCTTAGTGGGGGGGGGGGGGTCCTTATTCTAAGGGGATCCTAGTATTTGGGGTTCTATATTAATTAGGGGTGCCTTATGATCGTAAACCCCCATTTGTTACTGGGTGCCCTGTTGGATTCTGCTGCCGGTCATGTCATAGACTCGTACCTGTGATCTGTCCTCTCAAGGGATTCAGATTGTACCGCTATGGTTGTATCCCTGAGCTCTGTCTGGGATTCTGATGGTGCACATCTGAGGGTTATATTGGTGAGCTTTGTAGGAAAGAAAGATCTTCCGACAGGCAGCTGCCCTGCCAACACCCGGGTCGACGTCGTTTGAGTGGCATCCACTTTGTGGAGCCTGATGGTAGGCATTCCAAATCTGGGTTGCGCCGGGTATGAGGGATCCTGGTCGGGGGAGTTTGAGTTCTTGGCCCAGCCAAACGTTAATGGAGTCCATCAGGGCTTAGAGAGTTGGTTCTCGGGATCGTTGCGGATGTTTGTACTGGCGCCCTTGCATTCCACCGTCGCGCTGAGGTGCTCCATTCTGGAGTTTGTCGAAAAGGCTCCGGGATGCTCCGGGCTTGCGGAGCAATGGGTAAATATTAAGTTGTCAGTGCCGATGAAATTCGTTGTAGTGGTTTAGGAGACCGTCACAAGCGACATGCTTCTCGTCTGCTAGAACATGTTGAGTAAGATGCCGCGCGTTGCTGGAGGACTTGGCATCCGGCGAAGCCCCGCCGACGTTTCGGATTGCGTACTGTCCAGCAGACACCCCAGAAAGCCCCCAAGGCAAACCCCAAGATACACTTCGTCACATAAATAAACAAGTGATTTAAAATTCGTAAACAATTGCATATATATATATAACATATGTATAAATATATATATATATATATATATATATATGTATATGTATATATATATATATGTGTATCTATATATATATATGCATATATTTTTATATACATATATATACATATATACATATATATATATATATTTATTTATTTGTTTCGTTGTTTATAGCACGCCGGCTCCCAACAGCAGGCTGGAGCATCCCGTAGCCTTGCTTACCTTTGCTGCATCAACGAAGCCCCGACTGTGGTGCAGCTCGACTCAGAGCACCCTTGTGAGCCCCAGATTGCCGCTGCAAGTAACTACCGCCGTAATGTCAGTCTTGCCCTACCCTGCCGAACCCTAAACCCCTAAAACCCTAAGACCCTACAACCCTAAGACCCCAAAACCCTAAAGCCCCAAAACCCTAAGACCCTAAACCCGACCTAAGAGCTGAAGCACCTCAACAAATGCCCAAGTCGCTTCATCGTATCCCCATCGGCGATCCGGAAGACCAGTGGGGCGAGGCTCTACAGAGGCCAATTTGTGAGTGTTCCAAGTTGTTCCGAGTTGTTTAGGGTTTAGGGTTTAGGGTTTAGGGTTGAAGGAGTACGGAAGCTGGGTCTTAGGGCGCGTCAAGCGATGTCAAGCGTGACGACGATAGCTTGTGAATGTGTCGAGGGTTGGGCTTTGAGCAATGACTTTACAATGACTTCTGAAGACACCCTGCCTGATTGTGCCCACATGACTCTTGAGCTTCCGGCAGTCTCACTTTGACACGCAGGCTGGCCAAATCAAACGATGACACGCTCCTGATCGTCAGCGCTAAGAACCCCGCCGAAATGAACAGGGACCCTCTCGCTTCGAGGGATGCGGTGCACATATGCGAACTGCTTATCGTCCAGTCCTATCTTGGTGCTGACTCTTCGAGTCGCTCAGCCCCTAAAAGGCATCCCGAGGAAGGAAATTCAGCGGACCTCAGCACTGTTGCACTTGCAGGACGCTGATCGAATACAAGAGTGCGGCTTTCGCACTGTTGCGAGAAGCTTACGACGGTGCTTGCTTCGTCTTTTGACTGTCGTAGCCATCATGGAAGTCGTGCATCAGAACTGAGTGTGCGTCGGAGTCCTCAAACGAAACTTTAGCTTTCTGCCCTGAGCTTCAGCATCCCGAAGGCTGGAATAGGCTGGAATCCTTAGAGAGAGCTACATCTTCGAAGCTTGTAGGACCATCAGCATGGTGTTTCGTGAAGGGTTTGTTTGCAGGGCAAACAGATAGTCAATGATCTTCCATAGTGTGAAGGTTGTGTCATGGTCAAATTGAGGCCCCCCCCCCCCTCCCCCCCCAACACCCCAACACCCCAACACCCCAAACCCTTGCCTCCTTACAACGTCCCACAGCTACGGAGGTCAAGCCACGGACCTCAAACTTTCCCAGCCCTTTGACTCTTTACGACGAAGTCAGCACCGAGGAGGTCCGGATCCAGAGGTTTGGGGCTTTGGGCTTTGGGTCGAGGTTGGGTCTAAGTCTAGGGAAGAGAGCGAGCGAGGGACAGAGAGAGAGAGAGAGAGAGAGAGACAAAGTGAGAGGCGAATTCTGAACGAAGCCTATCTCTCTCATCCGAGCAGGGTGATGCCTCGCTCTCTATGGTGCATTGAAGGCATCTAAGATTTCCATGTTCAAGCATCTTGAACACAGATGTCCAGAGATCTCGGTTCATTGAGAGGAAGAGGAGGAGACATCTACGCTCCCTCGAAAACCGATACTGCCATCTGCACGAAGGTTCCATGTCACCCACGCGTCCGAGATTTCCACTCGAAGCTCTTACGAGATAAGCAAGGAAGGGACTAGAATAATCTCGTTCTTTATCCCTGCTTCCAACGGTTATCTTTCCCCAGTCTTGCTAAAATCTGCAGAGCTGAAAAGACTGCCCTGCTTTCACACCGGAAGTTTGTAGGGGAGGCTGGAATGTCGTCTAGAAGGCGGGGCGGCGGGCGGATAAATGTTGGAAAGGTGGAAGAAGCCTCGACTTCAAAGCCCCCTATCCGCCCAAGCCAAACCCCGCTCTATGCGCAACATGTTGACTGTTAACACGACTTCCATGAACGATCCGTCACGCCGGCTGCATAAAACGTAGTTATTTGAGATATACCCCTATCCGTGTTCTGCAATGCACCTCTGCCCTCGAGCTGCTCTCGTGCTTGTGTGCTGTCTCCGATTGTACAGCTTGGGGCAGCCTTTGTTGCCCTGCAGACGCAAGGGCGTTCGCGCCCACAGGCAATCAATCAATCAATCATATCCGTGTTCTGAGGAGATGCCAATCCCAAAAGCCCTGAACCCGTAAATCCCCGAACCCTCCAGGAGAATCCGATTGGCATGAGCATCTGGAACATGACCATGTCCGTCTACAAGGTCCGGACCTGAAATCTGTGTGATTAGGGGTTTAGGGTTTAGCGTCTCTTTGCCCCCCCCGCCCCCACCCCCGCCCCCGCCCCCTCCCCCAACTACCCAAGCTAGGATGTGGGGTAGTACAGCATCGCCATCGCATGCATCATCTCCCCAAATTAGGGACTTGCGTTTAGAAGACATACCCCTTCGAACCCAGGCTCGGAAACCGGACGACCCAGACCCAGACGCGGTCACGGACGATGTCGGGGAGCACGATGAGTCGTCAGAGGACCTGCCATCAGTCTGGGGCTTCGGGAAACTTGAGCACACGTCGACTTTGTTGCAGTACTTGACAGTCATATTACATCCACACGAGTGTATAGTCCAATTCAGTAGCGCAGCCATGTAGTCCTGCTTCATCAGAAGAAAACACGTAAGCTTGACTTGAATGAATGATGGTCAAGAGCATCCCACAATGTGCATGGCTTCATCGCATGAGTCTCCAAAGGCCAAGAGTCCATTTGGCACGAAGCCACCAAGTCTGCAGATGTCGCAGGGCTTCATGTGGGTGGTTGTCAAAATTATGGTCCCTTTTTGGATCCCTATTATAATACGGCACCTAATATTCAGGGTACCCCAAAAAGGATCATAATTCTGACAGCCACCCATGTAGCAACCCCATGGAGATCCAGGAATCTGACGACTCGAGCGATGTTGATGAGGAGGAATCGAAGGCACCCAGCGTAGGCTGCAGATGTTTGGATTCCGACAGCTCAGAGCTGCTACGGCTGCCTGAAGCACCCTAAAACCCTAAAACCCTCAATCCCTTAAACCCTTAAGCCCTTAAACCCTTAAACCCTAAAACCCTAAACCCGAAACAGCATCAATTCTTGGTTCCAGGAGGCCTTGCGGGAATTGGCCAGGCAAGCCGTTCTTGCCTCAGATGCGAGATCTCCACACTCCACACCATATCAGTGTGCCCTTGACATAGAGCCCCATAGGCAAAGTCCCTCACGACAAAAGACCGATTCTCCCACCATGCAAAACCAAGTGGGGGTTTTGGAAATTAGGGGTACCTTATTGGGGTCCTTATTATCAGGCGATCCTACTAAATTTGGGGGTAAACCCCCAAGTGGTGCTGTGCTGCAACTTGGGGCACTCCGAAGGAGGCTCCGACGCTCGAGGACCTCTCCATTGGCGATCGCGTGCTGGTGAGGAAGTTCCTCCGGGCAACTGTCACAGGGTTGCTCGAGTCCGAGCTGTGACTGCTATATACTCCCTTGATGGTGAAGAGCGTTGGAGCTTTCTGTACTTTTCCTACTGCTCCACCACTTGCAGCTGAAGAAAACCCTCGACTCTCTTCATGGTCCAGTCAACCTTGGAGAGGGGAGAGTGCTCTGATTGTGCAAAGTAATCCATGCCGAGGCGAAGCACCACATTCCCCTGGGGCGTGGAGGTGACGCACGCTGACGGTTCCAGGACACTGCCCTTGCCATCTTCACTACACCGACAGCCACGAAAGTCACCCAAGGGTTCAACAGGAAATAGCTCGTGGCGCCTGAATGCCGAAGCACAGAAAGGCATGAATAGCCTGCCAGGGTCTTCGCAAGCTTCCAGCGCAGTTCAGTTCAGAGAGCCTATCCCAAGTCTTTTTCAGGAAGCATTATTTGCCGTCAGAGCCCTGCTCTCAGCCATCCCACGGGCGACTGTTAGCCCCTGCACTGCTTGGCAGCGTCCAAGATTGTACTTGGTCCCTCTTTATAGGTTCAAGCTTGTATAGCAGACATGCCCTTTTTGAAACAACGCCCTATGAGCTGAGATGGAGCCGCCTGAGGCTGATCAAGATCCACGGTTCCGCTTCCGCTAGCTCCGCTGCACAGCGGCCGCCGGAACGGCTGAACTTGGAGGTGTGGTGGGCACTGTGTCATTGCACGTCTAGTGACCCACCAATCCGACTAGACCCGCTAAACCCCTGACTGACGGAACCATCCCAGCCCCAAACCCTGAACTCACTGAGCGACCGAATCTTCATCAACCCTCTAATCAAACATCCCACGAGCATTTACACGGAATGCCCTAAAGCCCATGAGCAGTCCTTACCCATGGACCCTAACTACCCTGCAAGCACCCTACGTCCTCAACCGCAGGATGCCAGCAGATACGCCCTTCGCATGGAGAAAGCTGGCCCGCGACAGCCTCGGCTCGGAAAGCTACTTCGGTGGCCTTTGAAGTGGGGGGCGCTTTCGCGTTTCAGGGGCCTTAGGTGGGTTTTGTTCATGGGCCTTTTGGGGGTTTAAACGGGTTGCAAGTGCAGCCAACCCTGGGCTGTACTGGTAGTGGCGAAAATCAGGAGGACTTCCGGGAGTCGAGAGGGTTGCAAGTCTTCCTGGTTCAAACCCTAACCCTAGACCCTAGTTGACCCTGAAGCCAATAAGATCCTACAAGTCTTTAAGCCCTGAATCCTGGCTGCCCAGACCTTGCCATGACCTGCAGGGCTCACTTCGCTTCGGTTCACCTTCAACTCGTGCTATTGAGGTGGAGCTTCGCCGGGAACACCCTAGAGGACACGCCTCATACGGACAGCGCTGCGAGCATAGAGAGATGGATGGCAACATGGCAGATGCAGCTTCGTTACGTCCTGATGCTTTAGCTGCACATGCTGCACGATATGTGGAGTGCCGTATCACCTTTGGGTAGTCTGCCCAAGCTCATTGGCAATTGACCTCAGGCCAATCCGGAGTCGTTCGTCGTGTCGCTTTCAGCGCGTGAGGGGCTTAATGCAGATTGCCGTTTGGCAAGTTTCCAAAACTTGGGGCCGCTCGCACCAGTAGAAAAAACACAGAATAACACGCAGCATGGCTGGTTCTCGCTCTCTCGCAACACCAAAGCCCGCACAGAAAAATCTCCAGGTTGCGATGGAGGCCGGGGCTTCCGATCGCCAGTCACGAGCCGCGATGCCACGCCTCCGCATGGGGCCTAGTGGATATGAGTCGAGCTACGCAAGGGGTCATTCTTGCAGCTATGAAATTGCAGTGCGCAGGCTACAAGGCCTGGTTACTACTCAGGCTACCACTGTGTGATTGCCACGTTTTTTTGCATGTCATCTCCCTTCCTAGCAGACACGCGCCGAGTAAGGAGCCAGGAACAGTTATTTCAACGTGATATCTGATACAGGTTCCAACGGCATTCGAGAAGCGAGGGTTCAACTCCTTGGAATTGAGGCACTTGGCCAATATATGTAGAGCCCAACTAGGAGTGTGAGACTGAGATGTCCAGGTCAGGCTACATCCTCTATGCCGATGGAGAGGATCGATGGGCCTTTTGGGTCGGTGATGGCATGTACTGGAGTGGCGTTCAAGGCGGGCCGAGAAGCAAGACGATTAGATCCCGTTGCAGTAGAAAGCCCACCCTTCATGAGGTGACGACTATTTACAAGGTTTTCAACGCCCTCACGGTTTTCAATAGGATGCCCGCAGACGTTGTCTGTCAGCGTGGCCGTGTTACAATGTGTTAACCACATCCCGAGTATCATCGTGCAACGAGTTGGCTGACGCTAACGTTCGGCGTGTCAGGTTCTCCGGTGATTCGGGGTCGGTGGACATCCCTTCAGGGTGTCTACGATGCCACTGCCAGATCTGCCTCGGGCCCTGGAATGGTTCAACGGGGGGGAGCTGTGTCCTTGTAAGTGTGACAGTGTGCGTCTCGCAGCCTTGATACAACTTATTCGGCTTCCGGTGGTTTGAAAAATTTTCTCCGGAAGCTCCTGCTGCTGAGAAAACCAAACTCATCCCATCTCATCTCCCTATGGCCACCCGAGACGGCCCGCAATTCCTCCCAACATCAAAGGAGGCTTAGTCGTGTACCCGTAGCCTTTAATGGCAGAACAATATAGCCTTAGAACACAACCATGAGGCGACCCTCATCACTGTCACTGATCATGATCGAATGGGAGGTAATTACCCGCTCTGCATCTTCCAGAACGTCTATGGCTGTAGGCATTCTACCAGTAGAAGCTTGCATATTTGTTTATCATGTTCAGCATATCTCGTCTGCGAGGGGCTTGATGTTTTTGCATATTTGGTGAATTGGCTCTGTGGCTTGGTTCAATTACACCGCTACATGGGGATCGGAGACAGCAGATCCTCAAGTTTGAAAGCTTGCAAGTTCCTTTTCAATGTTCCAAGCCTTCTGGCGCGGACACAAGCCAAAGCGAACCATGACCTGGTGCAAACAATCATCTGCCTAGAAAGACCAGTCCGGTTTGCAGATCTGCTGTCAGCTTAGGGCGACTGCCACTGATTCCTGCATTTGCTGACTACACTCAGTTCCATAGAGTGCTGGAGGTTGTCCATCTTGTAGGTGAAATCATCGACGTTTCGTGAGACGAATGGGCACTGCAGCACAGAGGTCAGCTTGTTCGTCGACGGTGAATGCGTGGGCGTTCGATATGGAGTAGCCTTCGTGACCAACAAGAAGTGCCCGCTCAGGCGGGAGAGCTGGGCGACTAGTTCATCTTTGTCAAACCTTCGACCTGTGGCAGTCTTGATCCAAACTTCACTGTTGGAGACCAATACACGTGTAGAAGGCAGCACCAAATAAAAAGGTAGCTTCAGCTACTTGTGCGGCGCTATGATACCTGTTTTATCCTCAGTGGTCATTGACGGCAGGATCGGCGCTGGCCGGCCAGCAGCTTAAGCTGCTGAACCCTTTGCGGGGTTTAGTCTCAAAGCAAATATGTGGAGTGAGCAGATGTTCGCCTTAGCCGCTTAGCTTCTGCAATCTGTGAGGGTTGCATGGACCATGGCCAAGTTCCCGGCAGAGGTTGGCACAGTGCAACGCCCTGGCACTCCCTGGCAGACCAAGGTCTGAGAGTGAAACGGGACGCTACTTCTTCGAAGGCGCCATACGCGATCTTAAGGTCTATGCAATCCTGGCTCAAGATGAGTCTGATGCATAGAGCCTGACATCTGAGAGGGGGCTGCTGGAACCTTTCCTTTGAACATTGCAATCACCCAACATCAGCTACTGGACAAAAACAGTTAAACACCTGCTTCGCTATGGCGCACACTACGGGAACTTTATCGTCGCCGAGGATCTGGAGTTGATTGTTCTGCGCGCGTCCAAAGTTAAGGGTCCAGCATTGTCCATAGATCTGCTTAGCGCTCTTCGCTTAGCTCAGACTCGGTGTCCACGGGGAAGCTGCGGCAAAAGAGCATCCCACTTTTCTTCTCATGCAGAGTTTGAAGCATGCAATATCTCAACGGAAATCAGTGTTTCGGGACTTTGTGATGTTGTTTGTTTTTTTTGTGCCTGTGGAAGATTGCAATCATCCCTAGCTGTGCATCCGTTCCGACGTTCCGTTCCGAGGCCTCGTGCCTTTAGAGATATACAACCTTTGGAAACATCCACATGAAATATGAGGGGATTTTGCGTTCCTTGGAGCTAAGACTTCTACTCGTACCAATTATCGATCAATAATAGAATGAAAATATCCCTATAAAAGGCTACGGTATCCCTATAAAAGGCTACGGGCTCGACCCCTATATTCGCTCTGCGGCCGCCCTGTCGGATGCCCCGCCTCCTCTTCCGGTCGATTTGGCTGCTTGTGAGGACCTTGCAGGGGGATCCTGAAAATTCCGGGAATTTTAACGCTTATTGTCTAAAAATCCTGGGAATTTTGGGAATCACCCGGAGCTGAAAACTCCCGGAATTTTAGGGATCACCGGCCGGATTGAGGTTTAGGCTTTCCTTGGGCTGTCACGGCGTTGTCCGCTTGGTCCGCTTGGGCGGTTTTGGGCTGTCACGGTGCTGTCCGCTTGGTCGGTTTTGGGCTGTCACGGCGTTGTCCGCTTGGGCGGTTTTGGGCTGTCACGGTGCTGTCCGCTTGGGCGGTTTTGGGCTGTCACGGTGTTGTCCGCTTGGGCGTCCGCTTGGTCGGTTTTGGGCTGTCACGGCGTTGTCCGCTTGGTCCGCTTGGACGGTTTTGGGCTGTCACGGTGCTGTCCGCTTGGTCGGTTTTGGGCTGTCACGGTGTTGTCCGCTTGGGCGGTTTTGGGCTGTCACGGTGCTGTCCGCTTGGTCGGTTTTGGGCTGTCACGGTGTTGTCCGCTTGGTCCGCTTGAGCGGTTTTGGGCTGTCATGGTGCTGTCCGCTTGGTCAGTTTTCGGCTGTCACGGTGTTGTCCGCTTGGGCGGTTTTGGGCTGTCACAGTGTTGTCTGCTTCGTCGATTTTGGGCTGTCATGGTGTTGTCCGCTTGGGTGGTTTTGGGTTGTCACGAAGTTGTCCGCTTGGTCGGTTTTGGGCTGTCATGGTGTTGTCCGCTTGGGCGGTTTTGGGCTCTCATGGTGTTGTCTGCTTGGTCGGTTTTGGGTTGTCACGGTGTTGTCCGCTTGGTCCGCTTGGGCGATTTTGGGTTGTCATGGTGTTGTTTGCTTGGTCGGTTTTGGGCTGTCATAGTGTTGTCCGCTTGGTCCGTTTGGGTGGTTTTGGGTTGTCACGGTATTGTCCGCTTGGTCGGTTTTGGGTTGTCATAGTGTTGTCCGCTTGGTCCGCTTGGGTGGTTTTGGGTTGTCATGGTGTTGTCTGTTTGGTCGGTGTTGTCCGCTTGGTCCGCCTGGGTTGTTACGGTGTTGTCGGCTTGTGCGATTTTGGGTTGTCATAGTGTTGTCCGCTTTGTCTGTATGGGTGATTTTGGGTTGTCATGGTGTTGTCTGCTTGGTCGGTTTTGGGCCGTCATGGTGTTGTCCGTTTGTTTTGGGTTGTCATGGTGTTGTCTGTTTGGTCGGATGTTTGTTGTCACGGTGTTGTTTGTTTGGGCGGTTTTGGGTTGTCACGGTGTTGTCTGGTTGGTCGGTTTTGGGTTGTTATGGTGTTGTCCGCTTGGTCCGCTTTGGTGGTTTTGGGTTGTTATGGTGTTGTTTGTTTGGTCAATTTTGGATTGTTATTATGGAATTGTTTGTTTGGTCTGCTTGGGTGGTTTTGGGTTATTATGGTGATATTTGTTTGGTCGATTTTGGATTATTATGGTGGTGTTTGTTTGG